GTAAAACTGTGGCAAATTTTAAACAAAGTTTTACCGAGAAGTCCCCCCCCACGTGTTTGGCCAGTAGAGTGGGGTGGTGGGTGGGGAGGGGGGATGTTAAAAGCACGGGGCTGTTAAATGCAAAATAATGGTTATTCAAAAAGCGTTATAACGCCTTTTAAAAAGGCGTAATAACGCCTTTTAGAAAGGCGTAATAAGGCCTTTTGGAAAGGCGTAATAACGCCTTTTAGAAAGGCGTTATAACGCCTTTTAGAAAGGCATAATAACGCCTTTTAAAAAGGCGTAATACCGCCTTTTGGAATGGAAAGGCGTAATAACGCCTTTTCAAAAGGCGTTATAACGCCTTTTTTCTCATTATTACGCCTTTTGGAAAGACGTTATAACGCCTTTTTTCGTGTTATTACGCCTTTTAATTTATTTTTCTCTAGATTGATCCTAATAGGCTTTCGTAAGGGAAAATATCACAAGTGGAAAGAGAAGTTATTTGGTATTTGCGCGGCTGAAGGGGGGGGGGGTTATAACTGCTGTTCATAAGCTATAATTGTGAATTGTCTATCTACATGTAGTTCTAATATACATTCTATATAAAGTCATGTATATAGTCTGCAGTTGGTTTGCGTCGCAAAATTCATTTGTCAATTATAACTGATTATTTTAGTACTGATCTCAAATCTAAACCAAGTAATTTGATGTACGGTAATTATTTACTTCAAATCTTAAAAGCAATTAACCAGAATACATTTTTTATGTGTACATAGATCTATACGTTCTTTAACACACAAACACACGAAGAAATGCCATCCCCTGTTCAGATTGACATCTAGGCATTTGATTTTTAGGCGGGGGGGGGGAGGAACGTGCAAAAATAATTGACATGACCGTTATCTAAATATTCTTGGAAGACACACATCTCTGCCGAATTCAATTTTGAATTTTTCTTTAATGTGTCCCTCCGACCACAAAGTATGTGCATTTTGAGTAATGTATAAATGTTTTATGATTATGTTGTTATAAAGAGTCTATCGAGATTTCAGTATCCCTGCCTGGTAGTCTGGCTATTTTTTTTTATATAAAAATAATTTCTGGTTGAATACGGATAATTTTTTTTTATTTACTCTTTTGTATATAGAACTCTCTCTCTCTCTCTCTCTCTCTCTCTCTCTCTCTGTAACCATCCCTTAGGGCAATAATAGGTATAAGATCCTACACACTTTCTGCTGTACCATTCATTAAGCCTTAGGACAGATCAAGGATTTTTTTTCAAGCGGGATGTCGACACTTCGAAAATTGAATAATAATTTAAATTTGGACAAGAAGTTAACCCAAACGGCCAAATTGAAAGAGAAACTAGAGGTATTAAGAGCAATGAGCTCACTAAATGATACCCCCGCCTCCCATATGGTTATAATGGCAACGTCCATATTTTGCTGTTGTCGCATAACCCAAAATACGTGTCGGACAAAAAAGTAAAATAGGAGGTGCACAATGGTAATATGTTATAAACCTACGATTCTGTGAAAGTTTTAGTAAATTTCACTAAGTGGTATAAGATGAGTTGCGGACAAGAGATGGGTACCCCAAAGCGTAAAGGACGGACGGACGTACGGACAGACGACATCCCGAACACTTTATGCTCATCCACTTTTCAAGCGGGTGATATAATAAACGTGAAATTAATCACAGGAATGGGTACGTTGGGAACTTTCTCAAATACCTTCTCAAACGCATTGGCGTCGGAAGCAAATTGAAAGTGAGGGTTGGGGGGGGGGCTAAGTGCAAAGAATTTTTTTTACATTTAAAAAATCTGAGAAGCTTAAAAAAAAGGGGAAATGTCCTTTTCCAAAACACGAATATCATATTTCGTGTGGGGGAAAAGGGGGGGGGGGGGAGGTAAGTTCGAACTTCAGTAACAAAATGTTTCTCCAAACACCAACACTTTCCTCTTTTTAACCTATACTGCGACTTATTTGTGGAAAGTTGGGGGGGGGGGGGGGAGGAGGGGGAGGCTAAACCTACGCAGCAATGTTCAATGTCTATACTAAGTATATATTTGTAAAAAAAAAACATCCCCCGGTTCCGACACCTATGCTCAAACGTGCGAGTCGAACCTGAACCTGGACAACAGACAAGAGAATTTTTAAAAAGCTAATTGTAGGTAGAATGTGGAATTCTCAGGGGGGGGGTTGCTCTCTCTTTCTATCTGCTTTTTCTAGAAATCATTATTTATTTATGTCTAGAAATTTAATTCACATTGAATTCTGGTCAGCGCGACTTCTTATAAACCACTTAACAGAGTTTTGTCGAACTTTCCAGATATTTATAGGAGTCAATGTTTGTCTAGATTTGCACATCACCAGGATATTTCGAATTCTTTATTTTTTCGGGAATTTCCGCACTTTTACATTTAGATTTTGGCCCTATCTCGAATATTAAGATGAGCAGTTTGTCAGCGCAATTCCTCATAAACCGCTGCAGACAATTTCGTCAAACTTTGCAGATATTTAGGACACAATGTGCATATAACAAGAAAATTACGATTCCTTTATTTTTTTTCTGGGAATTTCAGCACTTCAACTTTTGGGGGAGCGTGGGGTATGTTTTCATTCATTGCGCATAAAATTATAAATAACTTTAAATCTAATTATATTAGGTCTAATTAAGTCAATACACAGTATCTATTTGATAATAATTAATCATAAAGAAATCAATCTGTTTTAGACGTTTTCTTAAATTATTTTTATGAGAGTGTTAATATGCATGTTTTATTTATTACACCCCCCTCCTATCACAGGAAAATATGCTCAAAAGGTGAATGATTCGTAGTAATGCATGCTTTATTATAAATTTAATGAAGTTAAACCATGTAATCATAAATTCTATTTGCAACATTTACAGACAAGAGTAATGTTTAGTTTTGAAAAAATCACTTGCATTTTTTCAATCAACCCCACTGAGCTTTCAACCTTTGATATTTTCCCTGAGCAAATAAAATGATCGGCATGGGCCACGTGTGTCCAATCATCTTTTACTGTTGAGTTAGCAATGGATTACTGAGATGCATTTTTCAATAAAAGTAAAATAGGATAATTCTTTCGACATGTGCACATCCCTGTAACGATAGCAGTATATTCAGGTAAATGTTTTATCACTGCGTTTGACGCGTTTTCTCGACCTGCACGGATTTTTCATGTACATGAATGTATTCCGTGTTAGTGTATTTTCTATACTGCAGCAAATGCATTCAAAAATAATTTAATTCTCGGTATAGTTCTATTGTTTGTTGAATTCTTACTTTTCAAACATGTATTTGGTCAGTTTATTCAGTTTATGGACTTCTAAATACTATGCTATCGGAGATGTGTACATGTCGACAGCCAGGCTAGAAAATCACTCAAGTGAAACAATTCTACAAGGCTATATATCGCCGGTACAGCTGGCCAAAAATCTTTGATAAATATGGCGGAATTGAAGAAATATGGCGGACAAGGGCGTACAGGAATGTAGTAAGTCGTACAAAGATGAAAACTGATGCTTTTTAAGAGTTCATGTCAGCTTTAAAGCTATTGGTTTCATTTTTCACATGATGTACTCCATGTGACAAGGCCTTTTTTCAAATACTCATTTCTTTGATCTTTTGACCTCGACCTTGAGGATTGACCAATTTTTGCAAGAATTCACCAACTTTTACTTTGGCAGTAAATTTTGAACAGTTTGAGCAAGGGCTTTCATACTTCATGTATTTATTCATAGTTTTAAGAACTTGCAACGAATGAAAACTAATTTCTTTTTTACCTTTTGACCTTGACCTTTGGGTTTTCCCCACAAAAAAACCTCAAACATAATATTAGAACACAAAGTTCTGGGATCTTTATATTTACAGGCATATTCCTTTTGACAAGGCCTTCTTTGGATACTAAGAATTTTTACCTTGACCTTGAAATTTGACCTACTGGTGAAAAAAAAAAAATGAACATAATATTTGAAGTTCTTGGGTTTTAATGTTTAACATTTCTTAAGACAGGTTTTACCTTGGGTATATTTAACCTATTGAAGGTGTAATTTGATCCACATTCAAAAACTTTAACATTGACCATAATTTCACATTTCACAGGTATATTCATAGTTAGCTCTAGAACTGTAGCTGTTTGTGTGAAAAAATTCGGACAGCTTTATTTGTTCATTTTTTAAAACAAAGAACTACAATTCTGCAGCTAATTCATAGCAAAAGGTCTTTTCCATTACTCGACTTTGGAGTTTGACTCGCATTTGAGAAACTTTAACCTTCGCTAAAAGCTGACATACGGGGGAATCAGTGTGTCACAAACATAATTTATGTTGTTTTTGTTATTTTTATGAATAATTATAATCCTTTAAATGATATTCAATTATTTTTTCACAGGCTGAATTCATAATACACGACCAACATCATGGGTCAACGATACAGCACCCAGTGTAAAGTCCGAGAGTGTTATCAATGTAAGGGAGACACAGAATTTTATTGTGAGACATGTAAATTTAACATGTGTCTACGATGTAAGGAGAAACATGTAATAGACCTAAATACTGTATACCATGATGTAATGATTTATCGAGAGAAATATAGATACAATACAAAACTCGAGACATGTTTGAGGCATTCTAGTCAGATCTATGTAAAGTATACGTACTGTTCTTCATGTCAAATTCCTATTTGTTATCTATGTCAAGATCACAAAAATCACCTTATCATGGACATCAGAGATGCATATGAATTAAATCGTCAAAAACACAAAGAAAATATTCAAATCCTCAGAGGTGAAACTCTGTATCATAGGTTTATTCTCCTGCAAGAAATCAAAACTGACATGAAAAACTGTCACTTATATATCCACAATCCAAAACAGTCACTATTGATTTTCAAGAAAGCAAACAATGGAAAGGACCTTGTTGATACCGTTAGAGATGAGATGGAAAATAGACTCAAAATTTTTTTTATTGAAATACAAGAGCAAAAAAGGAAAATGACCAGACGCCTTGCTAGCATAGAATATTTTCTACACAGTTTAGAAAAGTCAATTGACAGACCGTCAAATTTAATCTTTTTGACAAAGGCAGCTTGTGTACAAAAACGAAAAGCTAATATAACACAACAGGTCCTGCTCCCTCCGACTTGGGGAGTTAACATTGATGATGTGAAGGTGATGTTCTGTGAAATCCAAATAGTAGAAAGAGGAAAAAGAAAAGCAAGAATTGGCTCTTTAATGAGAATGTTGCCTATACCCGTGCTACACAGATATGTAACAGTGCCAGTTGTTACTCAAGTAATTCATATTTCCTGTATGACTTCAGACTGGGTATGGATCAGCGATGCTGATTATCTCATTTTGACAAATATGGAAGGTAAATTAATGCATTATCTTATCAGGAAATGTGTGCATTACGGAGCACACTCAGTAAACAGTAATAACGATCTTATCTATATAGACAACGAAGACAATATCAAGAAACTTTCTAAAGACAATAAAACAGAGTCTATTCTGATAGAGAAAACAGAACAATGTACACCAAGCTGTGTCTACTGCTCTCCCTGCAATGGAGATTTATTTGTCGGTATGGTTGTCATGGAAAAGGGTCGATCTATTCTGTTTAATGCCAATGTAGTTCGTTATAATAGCAATGGCCAACACATCCAGACCATAAGGGATTATACTGATCCTGCCTATATCACTGAAAACCGTAATGGAGATATTATTGTCTCAGACGTGAAAATGGGGGTTGTGGTCAGCAACTGTTATGGAAAACATCGTTTTGTTTACACAGGACCTGAATTAGGACCAACATTATCTCAATATGGAATCTGTACAGATGCAATGTCAAACATACTTATCTGTGATAATAATACTCATACAGTGCAAATGATTGACAAAGATGGAATTTCATTTCACTGATACGTATCCAGCAACACGGGATAGACGATCCAAAGGGGCTGTGTTATGATCCCAAAACTCACCTTCTTTGGGTTGGATCGTACAAAAGGGAACTATTTGGAATAAACGCTAATACTGTGTGTGTATATAGATATATAGATAGAAGACTCTTCAGGGGTAATGATGACAGTTATGAGTTTCTCAAAAGAAACGAAAACCAAACAAAATAAAAAATTCAGCTACTTTGAATTTAATAATCGTAAACAAAGAGTCAAGAAGCCAAACTGTTTGTTTGTTTTTGTTGTTGTTCAGCGTCCATCTCGATCGAGAATTTTCACTCACATAGAGACGCAACAACTTGCCGCCAATGAGTTACAATTTTTTTTCTATACCCGGCATTGGAATTAACTCCTTACTTTAGCGACTCTAGAGCAGGCGCTCTAACTACTGCGTCAAGCGGGCGACGGAAGCAAAATTGACAACTTAGACAATATGTGCAGACTGTGCTGCAACTTAATTTGTGTAGAAATTCGATGGAATATATCTTGTAAAATGATAATTCTGCTTACATTTTACGTATATTTGATTTGCGGCAAAATGCACAATTCATAAGTCCATCAGTTCAGAAACATAATCCTCCTTCCTGTTCATTTTCTTCTTCATCGTACAACTATAGCCCTACTGGACATGTTATTAATGGTGACGCAAATATAGTAATTTTAAATCAGGACCTTAAATCATTAATTTTAAAATGGCAAAAATTTAGGGAACCCCGACATTGGCACCGTGTCAGAATGGATCAAATGTATCAGATGTCAAATTCTCGCATTCTGCGATTGAGGGGCAATGAAAACTAACTTTCTTTCTGTGTTCAGTAATTCGGAAGTGAAAAAAGAATAAGATAGATTACAAAATCAGTACTTGCTGGATCCTGTTGACAACGCAGATATCAACAATTTTTGTACGGCTCGCTGTTTAAATTGTGTTTTAGAGGAACTGGGATGTAATCCAACTTTACCCAGAGCTCTTTCTCAATGAAATTATTTAGATAAAACATTTTACACACAAGTTCTTTGTAGTTGATATAAGAGAAAATGCTTGAGTTTCTGGTCAACAATATTATATCTATGCGTTTTCTAGAAACCACGTCTTGTATACAATCTATTGATTTTCTATGAGTACCAGTTGTGCCCCTTTAATAGCAGACCTATTTTTGTATCCATATGAAGTAGAGTGTGTCCAAATTCCTTCTTTTGAAAAGAGGAAGAAGCTTTCTGCAGTTTTCAACTTGACATTTAAGATATATCGACCACTTATTGTCAATAAGCAATGGTTATTTCCCTTCTTATTTCGATACGACATATCTTGAACTTAAATGAATGATAACACAGAGTCTGACACGTCTGTTTAATATCTGGATATTTAACTTGAAAAATACTTTAATGTTAATATAATTTTAATCAAGTTTTATTATAAATGTTATGACTTGAACTTTTCAAATATTAACTAACCTTATTTATGCAGCAATATCTCTCTCACTTGTTTAGGTACGCAAGAGATTGAGCTTGCTCTACGTATGAACAATTTCTAAACGAGGTACTCAGCAGGCACACAACATTAAAAAAAAACTTTGAATCAACGTTGATTATAAACTGACACGCAAAAGAAACGCAACCTCCAAATTTCGATCAAATTTTTAATATTTCGTATAAATATATTGTTTAATGTTTACATCTTATAGAAGATACACATCTGCTCTACTAATAAGTGCATCAAGTTATGACTTATCTATCATCACTCTAGCAAAAAATGTCAAAGATGTAGAGGTGGTAACAATTGAACTTTTCCATATGTCCTCCATGAGCATTTGTTGCTGCTCGAATTCTGCGATGCATAGAGTTTGTAACACGGTTGATTTGTGTCATAGGCATGTTCTGCCACTCTTCAAAAAGTGCCTGACGCAAAGTGGGTAGAGTTTCTGGTGGATTTTGGCGCGTTCGAATGCGTCGATCCAACATGTCCCACACATGCTCAATAGGCGACAAATCAGACCTGTATGGGGGCCAAGGTAACGTTTCGACATTGTTTTGTTGAAGAAAATCAAGTGAACGTCTTGCTACATGACATCTTGTATTGTCTTGTTGGAAGATAAGTTATGCTGGTGGACAAACGGAATGACCACAGGTTGCAGAACAGTGTCAATGTACCGCTGAGCTGTTAAACTGCCTTCAATGAATATTAATTGGGTTTTGTGACTACAGCAGATCCCGCCCCACACCATAACACCACCGAACCTGTCTCATTCCACCATGCAGTTATTGGCATAACGGTCATCGCGTCGTCTAAAAACACGCTGACGCCCATCTGAGCGGTAAAGCGTGAATTTTGACTCGTCAGTGAAGAGTACACGGCGCCATTTTTGCATAGAAAACGCAGTAGGAAGGTGTCGATGCAACCATTGTAGTCTGACGTCACGACGATTAAGAGGCATTCCCACTGCAACGCGACACGGCCTTATTCCATAAGAGTGAAGACGCCTAAGCACAATATCTCGGCTTATTCTTGGATTATGCGTCCCAGGTGTCTCATTTGCAGTTTTTTGTGCAGTTTTAAACCGGTTGCGCAAGTGCTGCAACCTTATGAAGCGATCCTGCCGCGGCGTCGTCACCTCTGATCGACCAGTTCGAGGGCGATCAGCAGTGGTACCAGTTTGTTTTAGGCGTTTGTACAGACGAGATATTGTGCTTTTGTGGACATTCAGTATTTTTGCAACATCCCTTTGGGTGTTTCCAGCCATCGGTAACTGTACTGCCCTATTACGCGCATTATTTGAGAGCCTAGGCATACTTATTGCAGCCCCAAAAACAAATTTTAATGTCAAACTATTCTTACCAGATACCTGAAGAATAACAAAAATGAGAAAGACGCACGAAATGCAGTCGCGTGTATCCGTGCACTTGCTAATCGGGGTATCAATTATTTATAAAATCTCGTAAAATTGCAATACTTGATAGCGATACAGTCGAGTTATAGAATAAAGTTTTTCGTCAAATATGATGTCACCAGCTTGACATGACGCAGAACAGGTGATCCAGAGGATTAGATTCACTGATTTAATAATTACAAAAATGCCAAAAAACTGAAATGAAATAATTTATTAAATACCATTTGTATAGAATATGAATTTATCTAGTAGCAATGGAGCTGCACAGGGACAAGGAATGTAGAGAATACCGCTAAACGATAAGCATATTCATGATTTACATCAAAAGTGCAAGGGCATAGACTATTTTGTTTGAGCTGAGATTTTGAATATTTATTGCTTATAACGCATTCAAAAATCAAGACAGAATTTTTTTTTCTGTTTTATGCATTTTGCCCTTAGGTATTGACAAAAATCCAACAAATAACACAGTTAACAAAATATTGATTGGTGCAAATATTAAAAGTTTAAAGAACGCAAAAATCTGTAGGGTAAATTTCCTCTCAAAAATGACATTGATACAGTTAACATACAGTAGTCAATTCAAAAGCGACTATCCTTGATATAACAAGACTTTATTACGGGGTAAATTTCCTCCTAAAGAATATCACTGATACAGTTTTCACTACTACAATTACAAATTCAAAATAGCAAATATCTACAGGTAAAATTTCCTCTCTAAATTCACACTGGTGCATTGGACTTTCAGTATTTCAAAGCCAAAGCAACCATCGTTTACATAGCTAGATTTTACGGAGTAAATTTCCTCTTAAAGACTATCACTGATACAGTGTTCACTACTACAATTACAATTTGAAAATAGAAAAATCTACAGAGTAAAACCCCAGTCACATTTCTAAAAACGACCAACGGCCGACGGGTTTTGAAGCAAAAATGGGATTCTACGGGTGACAGTCGTCAGTTCATCAGTCGTTGTCTTGGTCGATTTTGACCTCTTTTTTTGTCGGCCGACCAATTTTTTGTGCATCGGTCCAAGTTATAATTTTTCATGCGTCGGTGGCCGATTTCTTCAATTGAAGTTATCCGTTGACCAACCTTCGATCATCGTCCGACCATCGGCAGTGAGTTTATTAAGTCGGTCGTCCGTCGTTGGACAATAAGGGTGTTTAAAATTTCGGCCGACGGTTAAAATCAAACTATAGGTCAGAGCTCGATGATCGGACAACGATTCGCCGACTTGTAAATATTTAACCTATCATGGAAACATAACGCAAACAAAATTTGGATGCATGGATTGATATATATTTTTTGAACGGAAAAAACATAAATAATTAATCCGTAAGATATAAAAAAAATCTGAAGTATTATTTGCTGCTTAGATATGCACTATTTGTCGTTTTTATGCAATTGCAAACAAAATTTTGCACACATTTTCAACATTGAGTCACAATTTTATAAGATTCTGCCACTTTGCCATACAAACATTACTCACGTCACCAATCTAAATATAGATTAATAAAAAAAAATATTGCTGATTTCTAAGGAAAAAGGATTTTTTGTGATATTTATCAAAGTCATCGGTGTTCCTAGGAAATAATGTGACTGCTCCGTGTAGCCCGATACTGTGTCGGACGATCATGTTCTTTCAGCCGACAAGACAAGAAAAATTTAGTCGCCCGATCATCGGCTTAAATGTGACCTAGGCATTAATTTCCTCTCAACAAACACATTATGCATTATTATCCTTCAGAATTATACAGTCAATCTGATTGGTTTAGAGCAGGTCACGTACAAGGAGACAACTCGTGATGTCTCCCTCACGCGCAGGGTGACAACTGTTATCTCCCTTCAGATGACAATGAAATAGCGTAAGCGAACATGCAGGGTTACAACTGTGTTCTCGCCCTTTGAATAAAACAATAAAACAATAATTAAGCGAGATAACTCCTATTTATAAGTACAATGGCTAAATTTGCAAGATCGGTAAACAATAAATTCTAACGATGACGTCAATGTTGTCTGGTGACATTATTTTGAAAGTATGGAATCGGAGCAGAGTAGAAGAAAATAAGAGATTTGATTACTATTTTCTACTCTATCTTATTGATAATTGTATATTCTTAAGGATAATAAAACTATTATGGACTGTTAAGAAGGGAGACATCACCAATTATCAGGTCTGAGTAGGGTTGTCACCCTTGAGCGCAAACGCCCTCGGGTGACAACCCTACTCAGACCTAATTATTGGAGATGTCTCCCTTCTAAACAGTCCATAATTGTATAATGTCCATTTAGAATTCTAAACCTTAACCAACCATCGTTTACCTAGCTAGATTTTACGGAGTAAATTTCCTCTCAAAGACTATCACTGATACAGTGATCACAACTACAATTAAAATTTAAAAATAGCAAAAATCTACAGGGTACAACAATCTAGAGGGTAAATTTCCTCTCAAAAATGAATTTCCCCCCAAAGAATCAGAATATCAGTGATTCAGTGTTTACTTCTAACTTTACAGTTTGAAAATACAAAATCTACAGGGTAAATTTCCTCTCTAAATTCACATTGCTGCATTGTACATTCAGTATTTCAAAGCCAAAGCAACCATCATCAACAAAGACTATCACTGAAACAGTTTTCACTACAACATTACAAGTTGAAAAAGGCAAAAATCTACAGGGTAAATTTCCTCTCAAAATGAAATTGATACAGTGTAATAGACAGCTACATTTAAGGGGGTAAATTTCCTCCCAAAGAACATCATTGAAACATGTTCATTCATTACTAATATTACAGTTTAGAAAAAGCAAGAAATTTCCTCCCTAAGAATATCACTGATGCAGTGTTTACTACTAACATTACATTTTGGTAATAACAAAAATATACAGAGTAAATTTCCTCTCTAAATTGGCATCGGTGCATTGTACATTCAGTATTTGAAAACCAAAGCAACCATAGCTTTTACATAGCTTTTAGATTTTACGGAGTAAATTTCCTCCCAATGAATATCACTGATACAGTGTTCACCACTACAATTACAATTTGAAAATAGCAAAAATCTACAGAGTAAGTGTCCTATCAAAAATGACATTGATACGGTTTATATTGGGTCTTTAAGACTTTACGGAGTAACACCCCCCCCCCCCCCCCCCAAAAAAAAAGTATAGCACTGATACACTTGTACAGTTTTCAAAACATCTATAAAACGGTAACATTTTCAAGTAAACAAAATCTAAAATGACATTTTTGCATTGTACTTTCAGTATTTGAAAGCCAAAGCAACCATCGTGTACATAGCTTTTAGATTTTACCATGTTTACGGAGTAAATTTCCTCCCAAAGAATATTTCCTCTCAAAAATGACAATGATACAGTGTAATAGACAGCTACATTTTAGGGGTTAAATTTCCTCGCAAAGAATATCACTGATGCAGTGTTTACTGCTAACATTTACAGTTAGAAAATAGCAAAAATCTACAGGGTAAATTTCCTCTCTAAATCCACATTGTTTCATTGCACATTCAGTGTTTCAAAGCCAAAGCAACCATCATTAACATACTAGATTTTACGGGGTAAATTTCTGTTCAAAACTATAACTAATGTATTACAGTTTTTACTATTAACATTACAAATTAAAAAAAAAGAAAAAAATCAAAGACTGTCAATGATACAGTAAATATAATATTCAAAGCAATGAAAGCATGGATAAACATTTCAAGATAATGATAGCAAGACCGTACAGAGTAAAATCCCCCCAAGAGTATCGTTGATACAGTCATTATTCGCAGTCAGAAAATAAACATTATATTATATACATTATATAATTATAGAAAACAGCAGAAGAAAAACAACATCACTGGTTAATTTCCTCTAAAAACAAATTGACACAATATACATTTTTACAGGAAAAGACATACATGTTACATCTTATTGACAAAAAAGACTTTCGAGGGACATTTTTATCATAATATACTAATGATGTAATGCATTATTATTTAATCAATAAATAAACAACTTATAATCTATACATACGCATACAGTTTTTTTTACTGATTTCAAGCCGTATTCAACGGGGGAGGGGGTTCAATGCGTATGCAGTAGCATGGTGACGTCACAAACAATATCAATATGTTAAAGCTATGGTTGCTTTGGCTTTCAAATACTGAGTGTACAATGCAACAAAGCGAATTTAGAGAGGAAATGTATTCTGTAGATTTTTGTTATTACCAAACTGTAATGTTAGTAGTGAACACTGTATCAGTGATATTCTTTGGGTGGAAATTTACCCCCAAAGTCTTGTCATAACAAGGACAGTCGCTTTTGAATTGACTACTGTATGTTTACTGTATCAATGTCATTTTGAGAGGGAATTTACTCTGTATATTTTTGCTATTTTCAAATTATAATGTAGTTATGAACACTATATCAATGATAGTATTTAAGAGAAAATTTACTCTGTAAAATTTTCAGAGGAAATTTACTCCGTAGATTTTTTTCTATTTTGAAATTGTAATTATAGTAGTGAACACTGTATCAGAGATATTCTTTTGAAGGAAACTTACCCCGTAAAGTCTTGTTAAATCAAGGATGGTTTCTTTAGCGTTGAAATACTGAAAGTGCAATGAACCATTGTGAATTTAGAGAGGAAATTTACCCTGTAGACATTTGCTATAACCAAAGTGTCATGTCAGTAGAAAACACTGAATCAGTGATATTCTTTGGGAGGAAATTTACCCCCTAATATAAAGCTGTCTATTACCCTGTATCATTGTCATTTTTGAGAGGAAATTTACCCTGTAGATTTTTGTTTTTTTTTTCAAACTGTAATGTTAGTTGTGAACACTGTACAGGAT